GGGAGCTTGACTACATTAGTTTCAAGGGCTGGTGTCACAAAGTACCAAGGAACTGGGGCGACAGAAATGAGATAAATTTATTGTTTCACAGTTCTGGAGGCTAGAAATTCAAGATCAAGGTATTGATAGGGTTGGCTCCTTCTTAGGGCTGTGAGGAAGAATACCCATGCCTTTCCCCTAGCTTCTAGTGGTTTGCTGGCCATCTTTATAGTGTTCCTTGGCTTGTAGATGCAACCACTTCAATCTCTGCCTTTATCTCCATGTGGGCTTGCCTCTGTGTCCAAATTTCCTCTTTTTATAAAGACACCAGTATTGGATTGGGGTCCACTCTAAAGATGTCATCTTACTAATTATATCTGCAATGACTCTATTTGCAAATAAGGTCACATTCTGAGGTTCTAGGGTTAGAACTTCAATATATGAATTAACTGAACAATTAAACCCATGAGACTGATTTAAGACATAAGAGTACATATGTTACAGTATTTATTATAAAGAATACCTGAAATAATGCATAGGAAGTTCCTGGCATTGATTAAATTATTAATAAATGTTAGTCAACATCATTATTTATCTTTGGATCCAGAGAGGCTAGCACAGAGCCTATCACCTAGTAAGCAAATAGTAAACATCTTTGGGTTTTGTCTGTTGGGCATTCCATCTTTTTCTGGTAAGAACACCTTCAAACAATTCCCTTGACAGTCTTGGTGAGGCAATCATTCAAAATGTCCTGCCCTCCCTTGAACAAGAAGTGAGTGGTTGGATGACCCAAGAATGCCATTCAGACTCTCTCCCAAACATTAAATCTCAAGTAGGACAACAAAGGGATATAAAATACCTATGATCACTTATCCTAACAATACTGTCACAAAAAGGACTGACCATTAGTTCCTGTCCCTTGGGTACTTACAGCTATTGTGATTCCTATTCTTTTTACACCCTGGTGCTTAGTTTTTCTTTTAACTCTTTGTGCTACTCCACATTCTTGAGCACATTTTTTGTTTTTGCTTAAGATAGCTAGAGTTTCTTTTGTTTATGGAGAAATTGAAATAGATTGATTCCTGAAAGCACCTCTTACAACTGACATTTGGAATGATGATGTGAAGTTGGAAGGGTCATGGTGAGGCAGGACTCGGTGTAGATTTCCCCTTCTCTGGCTGGGAAGATGGCTAGCTTCATGAGCACATTTTATCTGGAGACTCAGGCAATGTGTCTACCCAGGCTGAAGATTTAGGAGAGTCAGTAGAAAAATGTCATCTGGTTAGATCAGTTTGGATACTTTTTCAGCCTGGGATGAGTTACTATAAGTAAGAGACTACTGGCTCATCAGAAAGCAGAGAGAACAGAAACTGTTTAGGAAATCCCCTTATATCTATGGCCTATGATCAAAGAAAGTTAGTATCCAGATAATCTTGAGCTTTGCTCATTTGGCAAAGCTGAATTCTCTTCCCCAAGATAAAGTTAGTGGAAGCAAAGTCCAGGATACTGAAAACTTAAAAGGAAATAACAAGGGACTCAAGAAAAGCACTACTAAGCACCTTTTCCTGGGTCTTCATTGCCTGATAAAGTCTCCATTTAGCCCCACTTTGGAACCCAACCACTGACATACATGGGATGAGGGAGCACAGATTGGTTCTGTCTTTTCTAACTCAAGCTACTGCTTGTTATTGCCCCCAGGAAATGTCCAAACGGAGGCATTATAGGTAAGGACTAGAGATAAGGGCATAGATCTAAGGCCTGTTGCTATGAGAGAGGCCATTCTCTCTGTTAGATATAGATGGAGAGCCTACTAGATTTCTAAATAAATTGTATTCCTGGAAAAAATGATGACCAACCTAAGGCAGTCTCCAGGCCCCTGAACTCTTCTCTATAACCCCCACAGATGAGACCTCCCCATTGTCCTTCTCAGATGTGACCACAGTGGACACTGCACATTGTCTCCACTACCAGAAGAGAAAGGCAGAGTTAGCCACTTTGGCTACCCACAGATTTCACTCCATCACTGAAGCAGGGAGAGTTTTTATTCCTGGAAAGAAGGATGTGATCAACGCTGTTAGACAGCAACCATTCTAAGCTGATTCTTCTTCCCTTTTCTACATGGGGCTATTTTTTTTTTTTAATTAAGGTATATCCTGACCTCTTAACCGACTGAGCCACCCAGGCACCCCTAGTATATCCTGACCTCTTTGCACCATTGTAGCTTAGGTTAAATTTGTCATTTGGCAAAGTTGCCAACATGCAGGAGATATTCTGGACCAACCCAAGATTAATGAACAGCATTAGTAAGGGTTCTACAGAGAAACAGAACCAGTAGGATATATAGAGATATATAGAAAGAGATTTATTATGAGGCACTAGCTTATGTGACTATGGAGGCTGAGAAATCCCATGATCTGCTGTCTGCAAACTGGAGGCCCTGGAAAGCCAGTGGTGTAGTTCTAGTCCAAATTCAAAGGTATGAGAACAGAGGAGTCAAGGGTATAAGTCCCAATCCAAGTTCAAAGGCCCAAGAATCAAGAGCACTGATGTCCAAGAACAGGAGATGATGGATGTCTCAGCTCAAGCAGAGAAAGCAAATTCACTCTTCCTCTGCCTTTTTATTTTATTCAAGCCCTCAATGTATTAGCTGATGCCCACGTGCATTGGTAAGGGAGATCTTCTTTACTCAGTCTACTGATTCAAATGTTAATCTCTTCCAGAAACACACTAACAGACACATCTAGAAATAAGGTTTTACCAGCTATCCAGGGATTCCTCAGCCCAGTCAAGTTGACACATAAAATTAACCATCAAATGCACATTGCTGAGAGCCCCTAGAGCTGGGTGCAATAAGTGGCATAGAGTTAGGGAAGGGAGTTTTGGGGTATACACGGAAGAGTTGCACTATCATGAATGGGAACACTTATGTTGTTGTATGATGAGAGGAAGAGTGTGTGTTTGTGGATATTGAACTATCAGGAAGAATACAGCAGAAAACTATTGTTTTTGCTTGCCCAGCATCCCAATTTTCCTTCATAAAATATTTCTTCCCCCAGGCTTGAGCCAAACAGCTCTAAAAGGGCTGAACCTATACTTCTCAACTCAGCTGGCATGTAACCCAGATCTGATTGTGTTAATTTATTCCATCTCTCTGGCTCAATGAATGATTTAGGAAAGTTTATGCGATCCAAGTCAGATCAATAGAGTCAGCCACAGATTTTGATGGAATCATTGGGAAAGAGACATATTCTCTACACAGGGACTGCTTGGCTGATAGAAGGTAAATTTGCAGCTCTCAGGAAACAGCATGCCTCCTTTGTGCGGAGAAGGGTACTTGAGCCCAGGAAAGCAGATTGAGAAAAAGCTAAGTCTCCTTTGCTTAGCCATTTTGAGGAGGTGGGGTGGACATTTGTCTGGAGGCCAGCACTTTACGAACATTCTTCCTCTGTTAGGGAGTTTCCTTCCTCCCCAAGTTAAAAGTCAGAAATCGTGCTTCCCTAGGTTCCCCTGTAGCTGGGCACAAGCATGTGACCCAGGCCCCACCAGACAGTCTTGTGAAACCCTCTGAGAAGAGACTAATGTGAGGAAGAAATGCCATGTGGAATCCATTTTTGCCAATGAGAGGGACAGCGTTGCCACTTGGCCTTCAGAGGCAAAGCTGGTGAGTTTCTGGTAACAGAGCTGGCAAGAGCACTTGCCTCAGTGCTAGGAGGGGTTGTGGGGGCAGTAGCTGTGTCCCAGGCTAGCTCTGATGCCTCTTGGCAATTCTGTGACCTACCAAATATCCTTTGATAAAAATTTTTTTTGACTTAACCAATCAATTAGATTTGTCACCTCCAACTAAAAAATCCTCATAATTATGTAACAATCAATAAAAATCTGTTTATAGAGATGGATAAATGAATGGCAATTCTGGGAGGTAGGCATTATTACTCCTATTGCACAGATGAAAAATAGCCCTATGAGTATTAAGTGCATCCTGCCCAAGGTCATACAGCCAGTAAATCCTGAAGCAGAGATTTTCATTCTAGTCTCTCTCTTTTTTTAATCTCCAAAGTTCACCTTTTTTTTTAGTGTGGCATTTGAAACATGCTTTCAGAAATCATCTTGTGATGGAGAATAGATTGGCTTGCTCAGAATTCATCCCAATCTCCTTCTACTATGCCTTCCCATACTACAGAGGCTGGAAAGCTAAAGGCTTTCATCCTGATGGTGCAAATCAGGTACACAAAGTTTGGGGCCAAAAACTGAGGCTGCAACTTTCTGATTCCTGAATTGGCAAAAGTAGTGAGATCTTGAAGCTGGCAGGTGGAACATGGGCTTCTTGCTTACCCAGCTTCCTGAATGTTGAAGAGAGAGCTTTCTAGACAGGTCAGCTCTGTGGTAGTCTTCTGAAAGTCATTCCTGGAAGCCCAGCCTAGAGCCTATTCCTCTAGCCCTTCTAATTGTGAGCATCCGATTCCTTGCCTCCAATCCTTTTCTGTTTAACTACTAGACTGGCTCCTATTATCTGTTTCTGAATCCTGTCTAATACAAGCACATATAGAGGTCTAGTACAACATAAGTAAGCAGCACTGAATAGAAATTCTCATCTTTTCTCAGAGTCACAACTATAGGGGAAAATACGTATTCAAGATGAATTGAAATATTGAAATAAAAAGCACCATGGCCTTTCCAATATTGCCATACTTGTATCTCAAAAAACTGAGTGTATCAGTCAAGATACAGGAAGGCAATAGATGGTTCATTCAAACTTGAATAAAGACCAATTTTTAAAGATATGCATAGAGCATAGAGAACCACAGGGTTATGCACTGCCTGTAGACCTGAAGTAGCAAGAGGAAATAGTCTGTTATAGACTGAATGTTTGTGTTTCCCCAAAATTCATAGTGTTGCAATTCTAATGCCTAATATGATGATATTAGAGATAGGGCCTTTGGGAAGTAATTAGGTCATGAGGATGGAGCCCTTGTGAATGGAATTGGTGCCCTTATAAAAGAGACCCCAGAGAGCTCTCTCACCCTTTTTCCATCACATGAGGGTACGGCAAGAAGTCAGCAGTCTACAACCAGGGAGTGGATTCTCGTCAGACACCAAATCTGTCAGCACACTGATCTCAGACTTCCAGCCTCCAGACCTGGAATAAATAAATTTCTGTCATTTGTAAGTCACCTAGTCTATGGCATATTGTTACTGCAGCCCAAACAGACTAAGAGTTAGGTAGCGAGGATGCCTTCCAGGAGTTGTGACCTTGGTTGAGGGATGAAGCTAGCTCACGGCAACCTCACAGGCAGGGAGCAGGGAGGGGGCAACCTCACACTCTGCCCTCCTTTCATTTTCCTGCCCATTCACAGAATCCACCTGGAAGTCAGAGGACAAGAGCCTGTGTTGTAGTCCTCACAGGACAACCTTCCATGGTGGAGAACAATGGAGAGTCCATCTGAGGAGCAAATGAGAGATATCCAGTGCAGCAAGTAAAAAATCAGCAACACCCAGGGCAGTAAGAGATCATGAAGATTGTGGGTCGGAGTGTTTTGGTGCTACTGAATTTTTTAATGCTCACAGGTTGAGTGTATTCTTTCTTTTTAAAGATGCTCTACATGATTTGAAGGCATTTCACTCCAGTGTGAGAAGTGGAAGGCACCTTAGAGATCTCGATGAGCATTTCTCATTTCATAGATGAGGAAACTCAGAGAAATGAAATAAAATTCCTCCAAAGTCACATATCCAGAAACTTGCAGAACCAGGCGGCACACCCAAATCTAATGATGCCCAGTGCAGGGCTTCTTCCACATTCTGCAGCTACAATCCTTGCTGGACACAAGTTATGCTCATGACAAAGTGCCAGGCTGTGATGTGGCTGCAGTCTCAGTCTTGAGCATTCCTCTGCCTTGGTTTTATTTTTCTCTTCATTTTGAACACTTACCTGAAAGGCTGAATTTCAAAGACACTTCTCCTAAAAATAACTAAAAGATACACAGGAGGAAATTAGCATAATGTATTTTATCTATAATTTACAGTGTGTAATCTAGAAACGTGCAACAAAGCAATGCTAGTAGTGCAGAGAAAATTCCCCTGGGATATTTGGTTCCATTTTAAAACACCTCAGTATGGGGGGATGTGGGAGCAGCAGCCTGTGACACACTTCCATCAGGGCAAAATGTTATTCTAGTGATTCACAGCGAGAGGCCTGACAAACACTTTGAGTCGATATAAAGGTTCTTGCCATCAGGATAAAATGAGAATTGCAGTGGGTGGTCCCATTCTAGCCTCATGTCTCCTTCTACTTCTGTCCTGGCTTAGGTGGTTGCCCTGGAAACAGTAGGGTGGCAAACAAAACCATTTGGAACAACTTTTAGGGAGCCTTATGCATGAAGGCCTAATTTTTATTTGCTGCTGTCTTTTTTCTCTTCTTAAAGGGTGACTTTTCCAAGGCTATCATTCTCTGAGAGGGTGTGCTCTTTGGACTACCTTGGAAGTTGATTCACTCTAAAGTCTTTGGCAAGGTCCAGTTGGAGGGCTGGCCAGAGTTTGGCAGATAGCAGGGGAAGGGGGCTTTATTTCTCATTATTCAGCTTTGGATCCCAACACAGATGGTCCTGATCTCCTCCTCCCCCACCTAAGAATTTTTCTAAAATGACACCCAAGTTTTTCTTGGCAGAAGTTATAATTCCTGGCAAACAGTTCATGCAGCTCTAATTATGATGACAGCTTTAATGGAGAAGATAATCATATTAAATGGTTCTTATTCAGTTCCATGTGATGAATTAGTGATTACCATGAAATGTGTTAAGCAGCCAAAAGTCAGGGAAAGGGATGATGTACTGAGCTACAAGTTAAGGTCTGAGGGATTCCAAAACTTGTGGGAGGTAGGACAAAATGACCTTTAAAGAGGAGATGCTGATTTTAATGTCTCTTGTGGCTCATATACTGAGTAAGAAACCCCCTTTTCCTAATGTGTATGGGAAAGAAAAAATTATTCTGACACTTGTTAAAATGGTAAGTCTCCTGTATCAGAAGACTTTATTCAAGACTATTGCAATAGGAGCTGCTTCTATTGCAATAGGACAGAGATTGGATTCAACTCCCAATACAACAAAGACAAACAGGCAGTTATTAGCCAAAGTGCAGAGTTGGGGGGTCAATGGATAGAAAACTACTGATAGGAGACATCAAGAGCACAGGGATTCTTTTTTTTTTTTTTTAAGATTTTATTTATTTATTTGAGAGAGAGAATGAAAGCACAAGAAGGGGGAGGGTCAGAGGGAGAAGCGGACTCCCCGCTGAGCAGGGAGCCCGATGCGGGACTTGATCCTGGGACTCCAGGATCATGACCTGAGCCGAAGGCAGTCGCTCAACCAACTGAGCCACCCAGGCGCCCACAGGGATTCTTTTTTAAGAGGATTCCTGCAAAAGGCTGGTCATGGACTTATACATCAATGGTGAGGGATGAGGGACTTGACCAGACACGGCGGGGCAGGGAGTGGTGAGGTGATTAGATATCAATGCTGGGGGTACTCTTCATAAACTTATTTAGCAGGATTCTTGTTAAAACTGGACTAGGCATGCCAAAGAAGGACAGGGCCAAGACTAAGGCCTGAGAGTCTTTGTCAGTCTCTCCTCCTGATCAAGGAAAAGAGAGACATTCTTCTTTCCTCTGAACAATTTAAGTCCATTTCTTGCTCAGTCTCCTTTTGTTATAAGGACCAGCTGAACCATCTGTTGGGACTTGGGAGTAGAGGATATTTACTGGAGAGTGCAAATAATCAAGCATTAAATGTGGGAAATTTCTATGAAAATAAAAAGAAAAATAAAGATTAAGGTTGAAGCAGACTATAAACCCAGTTTCTGAGTCCAGGGGGCAGCCAGTTGAGATTTCTAGATGCTGGGCTGGAAGCATCTTTAGGTGGTGAAATGAGTCTACAGTGATGATCTGGTAGATTTCTTAGGCTGCAGTTTGAATGTCTTGTGATGGTATAACATCAGGGTCATGGTTATTTCCCAGAGCAGAGCATGGAAGAAATGGCACTTTCCATAAACTTCCTGAATGGCCTCCACAGCAGCAGCTCCAGGCTTAAAGGTTACCCATCATCCAGTGTCAGCTTGCAGGACAACCTAGGATCCCAGGAAGGCTCCAGGCAGTCAGGTTTGAGTTCTCAGTGACACCAAGATACGCAGGTGGGAGAAAAATTGGAAACATTCCTTTGGACAGTTGTATAGCCAGATACTGGAGAAAATTAGGAGAATTGAGTATTTGGGAGGGACTAACAAAATATGCAAGTTGGCAGGACTCAGTCCAGTCTGTACGTATATAACAAAACCTCAAAGACAATGACTGGGACTAGAAGCTGATAGTCCACAAAGTTGTGCTATAGTTTTTCATTGTAGCATAAAATTTCTCTCTACACTCACGCTTTTTTTCACCAAAGTTAACCAAAGTAAGATTATTCTTGTTTACAAAATGAGTCTGGTCACATTAGATTTGGCCTACTATTTACATAAGTGTAGCAAGAAGAGTAACTGACCACATAGACCTTTGAAAGTTTGCTTTGCTGGAACTTTTCATAAGGAAACTCAAATTAGACTTTTAATAGTCTCTCAAGGCTAGGAAGCCAAGACAAGAATTTGCCACCAGATTTCACTTGCAGGATCTATAGATTTGGGGGAATTTCTCTGTGCTCTAGGTCCCCAAAATATCTTAAGCTTCCTGGGCCTGCCAGGAAGTAACCTTCCTTACTCACCGACAAGGCTGGGAACCCTGTAAACCATACCAGCCCAGTTTTCCCAAAAGGGCTTTGTAAGCATTAGCTCCATAAAGTCAGCCTTAGTTCCATGAAACTATTTGGTCATAACTGATTCTATGTACATGAGTCTTAAAGATGACATTCCACTCAAAGCCTCGGTTATATAACCAATGTTTCCAACTATGTCCTGTTCAAGGAGGAGAGATTCTTACTGAACTTATGCAAATAATTATATCGCCATGAAAATAAGAATACTCAGGTAAGAGTTTCTGAATTCTGGAGGAATCAGCCAGGGAGAAAAGATAAATGTTTCATTTCTGTTTACAAAAAATATTATCTACTAAATTGTTGTGAGCTATAACTTAAAAGAAAAGGAAAAGGAATTCCTTAAATCCAGCAGCAATCTTCCAAACAAAAATCATAATCACCCTTCATCAGTTCATTCAGTTTTATGTAATTAATTCTTTTTTTTTTCTTAAAGATTTTATTTATTTATTTGAGAGAGAGAGAGAATGAGAGACAGAGAGCATGAGAGGGAGGAGGGTCAGAGGGAGAAGCAGACTCCCTGCCAAGCAGGGAGCCCGATGCGGGACTTGATCCCAGGACTCCAGGATCATGACCTGAGCCAAAGGCAGTCGCTTAACCAACTGAGCCACCCAGGCGCCCTTACGTAATTAATTCTTGTTCTGCTTGGTCTTGGGTTAGCAGTTTTATGAACCCATCAGTTTCTCCACCAAAGTTCTAGGCTGCTTTCTCAGTCAAATGGTATGGTCTTAAAGTAATTTAAGCACTGCCATCAGAAGCCTACATCCCAGAGACCTGTTCTAGTCCTTTCCATGGGTCTCTTTCCATTCCTTTTGGTTAAAGATAAAGCACTCTGGCCTACAGCTAATTGCAAGTGCTTTCAGAGAAGAATCAGAGTAAAACAAAAACTGTCTATTAATGACAAAAGATTTTACGTGGTTAAAGATCTGAGGAGAATTCACCATAAAAATGATGCAATTGATAAGGGAATTTGGTTATTTCCGTGGTTTAGAACATTTAAAATAATAACTAGAATTATGACTGGTAACATTATACCAGAACATATCATGGACAGTGAGGGTATTGACAAACTTCATACAATTTCTGAAATGTTTGTATTAGTAATATTTTATCCATACAAATAAAACCTAGAGAAGGTTAAAGTATCTTTTATTTGACAATACTTTTCATGCAACTGAACATATCTAAACCTAATTGTTTCTTGGCATCTCTCTTTTTCAAAATAAAAGAAAAAAATCCTTTAAGATTTTGAAAGAGCCATCTGAGAAATCTCAAGTTCAGTTCAAGATCAAGATTTCATTTAGGATTTGATTCTGGGAGGACAAAATTGTCCAAAAGATCAAAAGGTTTGAATACTCGACTAAAGACAATCCCAGGTTACTATGAACAATACTTAGCTACCTATTTAGCCAGAGTTACAAGAAAAGAATTCAAAAGTAAATAGAGGACAGAACATGACGGTGAAAGTTTTTAAAAGTTAGCTCTTTTAGAAGTGAGAAGACTTGGGGATGCCTGGGTGGCTCAGTCAGTTAAGCATCTAACTTTGGCTCAGGTCATGATCTCAGGTCATGATCTCAGAGTCCTGGAATGGATCCCTGCTTTGGGCTCCATGCTCAATGGGGAGTCTGCTTCTCCCTCTTCCTCTGCCCCTCTGCCTGCTTATGCTTTCTCTCTCTCTCAAATAAATAAATAAAATCTTTTTTAAAAATTATCTCAATATTTAATGAATATTTGACATAGCATATCTCTAAGGTTGGAAGTTACAAAAAGGATTTTGGAAATTGTTTTTAGGCAAATGTAACATTAGACAAAGCTAGCCCTCATCTCAAGTTATTTCCCTGTTAAATATTTTGTACAGTACATGCACGTTAGGCAAGTATCAAAAAAAAAAAAAAAAAGAAAGAAATCACAAAAGCAAAGAAATCTAAAAATGGTTAAATACCAAATACTTGTATTATACTTAATACTGATAACTCAGAAGGCAGAGCTGTTCTTATTAAATAGTATTAAATTAGTCTTATTTACCAAAGATTTTCCCAAACCACATAAACTTGAAAAGCATTTGGGTTAGTTTCTATATTTCTGAGAGATTTAGGAATATTTAATTTATATAAGCACTTATTTATCTCTAAGCCAATTTATGAAACTTCTTCACAAGATTTTATAAATTTTTTTGGTAATACCATCTAGACGTAGGAAAATATCACATATATATAACATACATATACAAACATAAGTATATAATCATACAGATGCAAATAGAGATCCTGTTGCTTTCATTCTAACACTGTAGCCATGAGGGATGCCTAGGTGGTTCAGTTGGTTAATCATCTACCTGTGGCTCAGGTCATGATCCCAGGGTCCTGGGATCAAGCCCTGCATCAGGCTCCTTGCTCAGTGGGGAGCCTGCTTCTCCCTCTGCCTGCCACTACCCCTGCTTGTGCTCTCTCTCTCCCTCTGACAAATATATAAATACAATCTTTAAAAAAATAAAATAAAATTGTAGCCATGAGTCAGGTAAACATAGCAATAAAAAAAACTCACTGGTTTATATAAAATAATTGGCTCTTGTTTTTGATCCACTTTATATTTTTATCCCAAATTGTGTTTCTGACAGATGGAACAAGTTAAGGTTACCTGCTCAATTGATAGTTAATGCTTTTTATCAATATTTGTGGAGGATACGTTTAAGATTTTGTTTTGCCCTGCATGTAGTTTCTTTGGGTGGTCCGTAGGTCTCCTGAGAGCCCCCAGTGGAGGACGGGGGATGTAAAGTTCAAAGTTCAAGTGACTAGAAGAAAATGAGGGGCTGGAATGGGAAAGAGAAAGTCTTGCAGGGGTGGACAGAGAGATGGAGGAGGTAGGGGCTTGAAGGCAATCCTATCAATGGATTCAAAGGAATGGAGGACTGAAGGTGGTAAAAAGAAGAAGGAGGAACGGAAACAGTGCTGAGAGAGAAATCTTAGAGGAACCAGTTTGGGGAAGTCATTGAAATTCCCAATTATCCTTAGTAAAATTATTCCAACAAGAAAGGAAGTAGAGAGCTACTGCCATGGTGGTGGGACATATAGTCATCAGGGGTATGAGATGGGGGTTTCAGTCTATGGAGAAGCTCCCTTGTTCTTCACTCATGATACTTTGCTAACAAAGAAGCCTGGGACTCTAACCCAGCCTCCATTTGCCTGGGACTCTAACAGAGTTTCTAGAGTAGAGGCCTCCAAAAGAGTCAGGAATTTGCCACTTCAAGAGTCAGGGAGTAAATTCCCACTCAGAAAGATCCAAGAAGACATCCATCCAGAAAGATGCTTGCTTAAACAGGCACTTTTCAACCAAAGAATCCTGGGACTCTAACCTAGCCTCAGAGGATATACTCAGAATCTTAAGAATCAAAATCTGCCCTTACCATGCTTTAACAGTCTGTCATCCAGAGCAATGGCTCAGGAGTTGTACTCACCATTGGATCCCTAATCAGTCAAGAGTGAAACAAAGTCTTCAGACGTGTGCATTTGAGGTCCTGGAGGAGAGGTTCCAGGGGTCCAATGATGAATTTAATTCTGTACCAAGTCATGGCACCATAACTGTAAAAGAAAAGAATTATTCAGACACTTATTAAAATGGTAAGCAAGGCTCAGGTCTTGATCTCAGGGTCATGAGTTCAAGCCCTGTATTGGGCTCCCCACTGGGCATGAAGCCTACTTAAAAATAAAAATAAATAAATAGGGGCACCGGGGTGGCTCAGTTATTAAGCATCTGCCTTTGGCTCAAGTCATGATCCCAGGGTCCTGGGATGGAGCCCCACATTGGGCTCCTTGTTCAGCGGGAGCCCTGCTTCTCCCTCTCCCACTCCCTCCGCTTGTGTTCCCTCTCTCGCTGTCTCTCTGTGTCAAATAAATAAAAAATCTCTAATAAATAAATAAATAAAATGGCAAGGAAGACTTTATTCAGGACAATTGCAATAAGTGCACTGTAGTAGGGGAGAGATTACAGCAAAGACAGCAGGGGATTTATAGCCAATAGGCAGAGTGAAGGGGTCAGTGGATGGAAAATTACTAAGAGGAGATTCAAGGGTAAGGGGATTCTTACTAAACCAACTTGATAGCATTCTTGCTAAAACTGGGATAAGGATGGGGGCCAAGGTGGAGACCTCATAGAGAAAAGGGCTCAGAGAAGCCTGACTGAACTATGGTCAAAGATAAAGTATGTCATGTCCACCACTAATACACATACTTCTACAGACAAAGGTAAGAATGGAAAGGAAGGAAGGAAAGAAGGAAGAAAAGGCTTATAAAATTGCCTTCTTAACTCAGACTATTTTGAGTGCTACCACATATTTGTCTGTGGGTGAGAAATTTGATCTTTCTCAATAGCCAAAAGATATTTAGGGCCAAGGCTTTAAAAATAAGGAGGGGATCAAATTGAGTAACATAGTTACAACTACAAAGCAATAAGCTGGCTTTTCTTGTGTGTGGTTTACAAATAGGATGACCAAACTCGACCCCTTTTGCCTGGCACTCTCCCAGTTTGAGGACTGAAATCTCCCTCAGTTCCAGGTAAGCCAGGGAAGTTGACCCTAGGCTACTCAGTTTTAAAACTCAAAAGTCCCACATTCTGGGAAACCCTTCAGTGCCAGACAAACTGAGACGGTTCATCACCCTGTGTGTAAAGAGCTCTGAAGGTACTTCAACAAGAAGTTCTGAAAGCATTTTCAGTCATGGCACATGACAAACTGGATGTTTGGCTTTCAATATAAGGATTGGGTTTTGTTTTGTTTTTTTTTTTTAAGATTTTATTTATTTATTGGAGAGAGAGAGAGCAAGAGAGCAGGAGCAGAGGGGAGGAGCAGAGGGAGAGGGAGAAGCAGGCTCCCCACTGAACAGGGAACCTGATGCCGGGCTCAATCCCAGGACCCTGGGATCATGACCTGAGCCAAAGGCAGATGCTTAACTGACTGAGCCACCCAGGTGCCCCAGGAGTGTTTAAACAAGAAAAAAAAAAAAAGCCTCATTTGTTTATTCACATATTATGTAGGAAAATAAATATTCACCCTGATTCCTATTTAGTGAAAAGTATGTTTACTTAGCTACTTTAATGCAAATAAAAGCCCAAACACCTCTCCACAAATGCTTGGCTGAACAAAGCTTGTTTACCAAATTAAAATACTTGTGTATAAGTATGCATGTTTTCTTTTTAAATTAATATATCTCTTTATGTTTTGCTGCAAAATTCCTACTAGAAAAAAAGACATTCAAATTTGCTATTCATTCATCTGTAAGCTACAGTAACTATAGTCGCTAGGTGTGGGAACCAAAGTGTGTGTACATGTGAGTGGTCTTCCATGGGGAAGCGACCTTCTTTACCCTCATTGTCTCCAAACTCTAATTTATCTGTACTTTCACTCATTTTCCCAAAGGGTGTGTTGTTCCTTTAGAAGGCTTTTTTTTTGGTGGGAGGATGCTAGAGGTGGATAAAGAGGATTAGATGATAGCAAAACCTTGCTCAGAAAGCTCTGTTGTTGCTGTTCTGCTCTGATTAGTCAAAAACACCTTAGGGTGACATTAGTTTATCCTTTCAAAATCTATCTTATATGCTTTCTATATGTTTTCCCATTTGTGTGAGGACCTCTCGCCCTAACAAGTGGTGGTCAGGATAGCTGGGAAGGGATGTGGTAGCTGGGACCCTGTCACTTGTCTGAGGCTCCCTGGAGCTGAAGAGGAAGAGATTCCAGAGGAAGCAACTTAGAGAGAGGCTGAATTTAAAACCACTTAATGCCAAAGTATCTAAATATGAGGACAAACTGGGAAAACCACTGAAAACGAGGAGGTTAGAAATAGAGTGTACAAGCAGAAACGAAAAATTAAGGTACCTGCCTGATGGCAGTGGACATTTTAACCAGGACTTGCTCTTCTTCCACTCTGCATTCTACTAGACTCCGTTGTCCAGTGTGGGTGGCTACAAAGACTTACCTGTTCAGGGTTCTGAGTGTGGGGGAGGGAATTTCCTGTGTTTGGTTCTCTAACTTGCTTCCCTTCTCATGATCAAAGTACCAGAGCTGGCTGTGGTACTGCTGGGAATCCAGAACCTTTCAAAAGATTTTTGGGTCTTCCAGCTTGGTTGTCAGGGTAAACTGATGGAGTTCTGGGTTGAAGGCAGGGTGTGTGGGAGCTGGGCTAGTGGAGCTAGTGGAAAGAGACTTCATCTCTCCTTTTACTAAGAAAGGAGCAACCAGAAGACGGCTATGACAATTTCACATCATCACAGTTACTAATTTTTGCCTCTTTCCCTTATGGCAGAAGAACTGTCCTGGAGTGTAGGTCCTCTTAGACTACACTTAGACTCATTTAAGCCCTGGACACCCTCCAACTGATTCAAAGGCTTTGCTCTTTCCATCATCTACTCTCTTTAGGATTTCCACATTTCCTCTGTCTAGTAGAACTTTTCTGTCTGCATATAAAAATGCTAGAATATCTCCCACTTTAAAATAAATCTGTCCTCCCATGAATCTATGCCCTTCTCCACCTACCCCACCCTGCTGCTCAGATCCACCTATATCACCATTCCTAAAATCAGTGGTCAAAACTGAATGTCTCCACTTTCTCACTTCAGAGTCTCTTTTCAGTCTTCTCCAATCATTTTCTCCAATCATTGTCTTCCCTACAACTCTACTGAAGCTCTTCTTCTCAGGAGCACCAATGAGCTCCATCTCTCTAAATCCACTGAACCATTCCCAGTCCTTCCATCTCCCTGGATCTCTCAGCAGCATTTGACTCAGTAGATCACTTGGCTTCTGAGTCAAATACTGTCTCAGCCTTCCTCCTACATTCCTGCTTGGCTTTTTCTTACTCTGCTGGCTCCTTCCACTCATTCCTGATTTTTAACTTTGTCTAAACCTCTTCTGTTCTTTAAATACATTCACTCACTTTGGAGGAGATTTATCTAGTCCCATGGCTTTCATTTCCTTCTCCCTGTCAGTAATTCCCAGATCTATATATTCTTCAGTCCTGATATTTCCCCTGAGCTCCATACTTAACAAACATATCGTGCCACCTACTTGACATTTCCATTAGATGTCTAATTAGAATTTCAAGTCGAACATTTTTTTATTTTTTTATTATTTATTTATTTATATATTTGAGAGAGAGAAACAGCAACAGCATGAGAGGGGAGAGGGTCAGGGGAGAAGCAGGCTTCCCGCTGAGCAGGGAGCCCGACGTGGGACTCGATCCCAGGACTCTGGGATCATGACCTAAGCCAAAGGCAGTCACTTAACCAACTGAGCCACCCAGGCACTCTTGAACATTTTTTTAAATAGAACTGGATTTTATCTCCCAAACCTGTTTCTCCCACAGTTTCCTCCTCTGCAGCTACTAGCTTTACCATTCACCTATGCTATGTTCTGAATGTGTCCCCCCCAAAAATCATATGTCAAATCCTAACCCCCAAAACTGATGGTATTAGTGGGTGAGGCCTTTAGGAGGTGCTTAAAAACATTCATGAATGGGATTAGTGCCATTATAAAAGAGCTCCAGAAACATCCCTAACCCCTTCCACCATGTGAGGACACAGCAAGGACTGGCTATGAACCAGGAAGAGGGCCCTCACCAGAAGGTGACCATGCTGGTGCCATGATCCAGACTTCCAGCCCCTGGACTGTGAGCAATAAGTGATTGTTGTGTAAAGATACCCATTCTGTGGCATTTTGTTATAGAAGCCTGAATGGACTAAGAAAATACAGTACCTCAGAATGTAAACTTAAAGCCCATTCTTAACCACTCTATTCTTCTTACACCTAGATATCATACAAATCCAATTGTGTGGGTCCCTATATGTGCCTGATGGCTAGGGCCGGGTGTCCTCAGAATTCCCAGCCAGATGATTTCCAGGATTAGTGCTATAAGTCTTCATTCATGGTTCCATGCTTTCCAGGATTGGGTATGAAATGGTAAACCCAAAGTGCTTGAAAAAGATGACACTGATGCAAACTGAGTCTCTGCATTTATCTTAGCCACTTTAGTCTCTATGACAAGTGATCTTTTTCCCAAGAAGGATGAGCAATTGAATTTTTCCAGTAGCCAATTTCCCAGGGAAGGAACCCCAAGGGGTGGAGGCATGAGGGTTGGGTCCTCTTGGGATCTAATGTTTCCAATCTGAATGGTTGGAGACATTCATATGGATTGGGCCGGATCAGGTAGGCTAGTGGAAGGTTGGAGGAATTAAGCAAGGCTTATTGGAAAGCTGCATCTCCCTCTGGGAACGAAAAAAGGCCTCTTTCCCTTTTGAAAGTGTTAGTTATTCTAACAGCCAAGGAAAAGAAATCTGTAATGAATTTTGTAATAAATTCCAGGAATTGCTAAATATATGTAATGAACCATGTGGGCTCTTACTGTAGGACCATGAACACTTGAAGCGCAATGCAGAAGTCTTGGCTGTACAGAATACAACCCAGAAATTCCTCCATTTTCTTGAACATGTACTTTTCAGCATTGGCCTGCAGGTGGGGCTGTAGCCCACAGAGGGACTAAACGTTCTACAGTATGGCAAGGGACTGATTGGATGTTAGATCCAGATAAGTAATTAGGAT